TAATGAGAAAGCAACTTATTAACTGGGAATAAACGGGAATAAAAGTCATACATTTGTACATTAATTTATAATATACGTTTTTGTTCTATATACTCATTCAAATGAAGATATTTTCCAGATCACTAAAATTAGCGTTGATTGTAACATTATTTAAAATATTAAATAATGATATTACATAATGTAGTTTATTTGATATACTGTGTATTAACAGTCAAAGAATAATATTTAGGACTAATATTTGATTCGTAAAATGTCAAAAGAATTTTTGTCTTTGTCTTGAAACAATTTATCTCGATGCATTCAGATTCTCAGAATTGATTCTACTTTTGCAAACATTGCAAACAATCGTATTAAAATTGGAAACAAATACACTTCGTCAAATATTATTATTCCTCGCGATATGAATTACTTCTTACCAATTAACTTTCTCCATGGAGAAATGTTTTAAACACATATTTGGAATTTCATTTTACCTTATGAATTGAATATTATCGTATTTTAAATAATATTTAATAAAATTTCACGATATTTCATGGAGCTATCCTTTAAATGTCTCAGCCGTTAAAATTTTGTGAAAAAGTTTTCTATAAAGTTCTTCCAATTTTGCGGTGGCCAAGAAAAGAACACAGCAACCCTTTCATGGTGAAAACTTCCAGGAAAATCGTGTGGCAGAAATATTTCGGGTGAAAAAGTTAGCAAGGCACGTGACTGATATAGTTCTGTCACGAGTCAATTTTACAAAAATCGATTCGCACAGCGAAATCCGTCATCTGAAACAATGGCAAACGGTGTTTTGAACTTTTTGTCTACACCTAAAAAGATACTCCACATAACGGATTTTCAACTTCAAATTCGAGGGCTGTTTTCGCCACTTCAACGAGACCGATTGTCGATAGAAACTGAAACATTTGACACATATTTTGTCAAGTTTCATGTCGCACCAAAAGCGCATAGAAACTAATACTGTTTGAAGAATATTTCTTGCTAACCCCAAGTATCGTATAACATTTTCCTAAAACTATCGTGAATTACTAAAATCAAATGGTATTGCAATTTGTAACGAAAAATAATGAAAGTAATTTCTTGCTGTAATATTAAATTGGTTGTATGATGTATATTTCAAACTGAGTGCAATAAACATGTAAAACCAGTTGAAAAATCTGTTGTAAAATCTGGTGTAAAATTTGGTGTAAAATCGGTTGTAAGATAAGTTGTAACGTATATTGTAAAATTCTCTGCAGCCCAAATTTAAAGTTATTTGTCTTCGTAATCTTTTTTTTATATTCCTCCGTAATATACTTTTCGTAGCTTCAATGTAAAATTTAATAAAGAGTAACAAATGATGAAACATAATACCCTTCCGTAAATAATTTTGTGAACCCCTGTACCTTTCAGTCCTTTCAGTAACAAAAGGAGTAGATATACATAGAGACTTACTCCTTTAACTTTGAAAATTTAAATACAGACGAACTTATTTTGAAACATATTGTCAACACAATTTACTCTAGCACATTATTTACTTGTAACAAAAGATATAATGACTGTGTTTGAAATTCAACTTATAACGACTATTCTATGAAACTTTCTATCTGAACAAAAAGTATTTCTGGAACAATATATAGAATCTTTTCTCATTCTTAAAAATGAAACACTATACTACAGTTTGTTCATTTATTCCAGTGTTACCTTGTATACTTACTTGTTTTACCACTCTATAAAATATAAAATCATAAAAATATCGAAAAAAATAGAAATTTAGGTAAAACGAATCCATTTAAACAATATTTCTTAGTTTTTAAAATTTTCTTTCTTAATAATTGATTAAGCATCTGTCACTTATAAAACAATGAAAAATAATCACAAGTAATAACGGTCCTATTCACAGAACTACTAAAACAAGAGAGAACTAATGAAGTTTCCCAAAACTATACCATAACTCCTAAGCATAAGTACATATTGTGTAGTGATCAAGTGATCAAGGAGTACAACCAAATAATATCGTCAAGGACTGAACCAAGTAGTATAACCTCGCAATGCCCAGAAATTTTACTTTAATTATATAATAGACAATAAAAAAGATGCTCTACAAAACGACGCACCACTTACCCAAAATAAATACATTCAAATAATATTCTTACAAGTAATCCCTCAATAATAACTAAAACTATATTTCACCCGCAAAATGAACTAAAATAATTACCATTAATACACACAGCTAATACAACACAAGGAAAACTAAGCTTCTCAAATTCTAACTATTGTATATCATACCTAATATTTATAACTTTGGAACTATAATTTTCTATCGATCGTGTAGTACAAGCAAATAATATCGCCGATAGCCGATGCAAGTAGTATAGACTCGCAATGGCCAGACACGTCCGAGTTATTGAAAGCCACGGGAAAAAAATTAATTACACCACCACTCGTCGGCCCGGCTGAATTATTCTCATCGGAAGGCAACAATTGTTCGCGGCCAGGGGTAGCGGGGGGCGAGTCAAATAGTGGAACGTGGTAGAACCGTTGCAAATAATTGCATATCGCGGTGCAGCATTAGCGACGACGATTCACGGACCGATGATTCGATACCAGTTGAGCGGGTACCCGTGCTTCTAATGGTATTAAACGAGCGCCGATGTTTCTTCGAATATACTAGAACACCGGAACGCCGTCAGCGCTTCAATTTCGCGTAATAAAATAATCCGCAATTATTGTTAATGTTGCGCGAGCTACGTTAAACGCTACCGAGCTGTTTAACGTTCAGCGAACAATTTTATTGCTTTATTGGCTGTCCATGCGTTTATTTGAAATATTTTTATTTAAAACCCTTTGTAATAACTTGGCGGTTATGTAAAATACATTCGTTTTCGAAATCCAAAAGAAATTATATAGAATGTATGCATTTTCGAAATCTAAAAAGGTTTATATGGAATATATTAATACCCAGAAATTTTAAAAGTCATTATCAAAAAAGGTTTATTTAAGATAGTTCACGTAAATATAAAAACATGGAATTGCATATAACTTTTTCTGAAGTTATTTTGAGTTTAACATTTTACTATGTAATAATGAGTGAAAATTTTAATGGACATGTTTAGCTCTTGACTGAATCAATATTATTTATTGTGTATATTGTACGAAGTGAGAGACTATTCTGAAACTATTCTGAATGAACAGGAAATTTCGTTACATTATTGTGAATTATTAATAACAAAATAAATCAAGCGACCACAGTGATAAAGAAAATCGTACAAACAAGAAGCGTACTCGTTCTTGTTTACATTTCTTATTGAACTGAATATTGTGAATATTTCCTGTAAATCAGGAACAGTACAAAATAGATCATTATATTTTACCATTCAATATTAAATACGACATTATATAATAAAATTATATGAATTTATTGGTTTAACAGAAAGCTAAACTTTTTCCCTACAAAAAAGTAGAAAGACTTCTTATTAAACCAATAAACAATAATTTATATTACTGTGAAATACTTCACTAAATATTTAATGATAATATGAATTTACTGGTATAACAGTGTATTCTAAATCAAAATTATTTTTAAATTCATCAGAATTTCCATCGGACATAAATTTATGTTCGTTTTATTTATTTTTTACTAAATACTGATTACTTTCAAGTAAACTTATCATGATAAAAACTTTTGAATAACGGTCAACCCTCAAATAATACATTCAGAACACTATTCACGTGGATAACAAACATACGATGATAAACATATTCAAGAATTAAAGAAATTACAGGACATTTTTGTAAATATTTACCTATACTTGTTAACTCAAGTTGCAAGGATACTTTAAACAGTAAAGATGTGCAGATTTGTTTATTCTTGTGAATATGCACAAACGAGGAACAGAAAATCGTAAAATCCAATGCACAATTGTCAAGTATTTAAACGTTATAAAATACAAAATTTGTTACGATTACTATTAGTTTCATTCACTGCAACTTGTCCATAATGAGTTCATTAACATTTCCTCGTAAACAAATACCACAAACATTATCGTCTTTTGTAATTAAGGGTGATATTAATTAATAAATGGATGGATAAAATATTTGAAATTGTTGTTTCCGATTTAACTTTAGTGAAATGCCCATGATAATTTCTGCTAAAATACATTTCATAAATGTTTTATCTTTCTTAAATGTAAATCGTAATATTTCGTTAATTTGCCTTACATTTTAATACAGCTGCGCAGGCGTGAAACTATTTGGCAAATTTCTGCGGTTTCGTCTCGTGCAGTTCTAAATCATGAACGTGCGTCACTGACCAAACAAATTATTAAATAATTAATAACATTCAACCGGTGCTCTAATCGAAAGTAATTAATTATTATTGCATCGTTGGATATATTGGAATCACATTATCGAGACTACGTGTCCCGGAATATTACGGACACCGTGTCCAACAGGAATGTCACATCGTTACACGAATTATGTAAATCATTGGAACACGTGTGACATTAATTTTAAAGCAATCTATATCGTGAATAATTTGACAAATACAAAAAGACGGTACAAAACGTAAGAGTAAAATTAATATTAAGGTAACCCGCATTAATAATGATTTAAAAACAAAAGAAACTAGCAAGGAACAAGAGTGACAATGATATTAATGCAACCTGCATTGTAAATAATTTGGTAAATACAAAAAGACATTAAAAAAGTAAGAGTGAAAGTAATATTAAGGTATAATTCAAAACCAACGAGAAGACCCTAAAATTTTATAAGTTACCAACTCGATCAAACAGTACACAAGTGTAATAAACAACATGATACTAAACAAACACCTTTTAACAAAGTCAAATGTGCATCTGTCTGCAACAATTCCTTTCAAAACCTAAAGATCTTCAAAAAATACTTTTTCCCCCAAAGTACACATTAAAACACACACAAACATACATTCTCGATAATATTGAGAATTGATCACTGACTCGATGAAAGTCGTTTATTAATGAAAAACTTGCAGAACTCACCGAATACGACGATGTAAAATCCAATTCCTGGCGCGCTTCACCTTGGCCAGCACTCGTGTCAGCGAAATTGATCACGGATCTACGTTCGAACACCCTTCAGCCAGGTGGAACGACGCGAACGTGATAGAGAACGCGCGGCAACTGTTCCGAAATGGTTAGGAACGCAACTACTCGCGCAAGGAATCGCACACCCCTACCTCGTCCGCGCCCCACCACGCACAGCATCCACGAAGGGTGGCTCTCGTCATACCCTTTCCACGCGACTCGACTATAGCGATCAGTGGATCGCACATTTTGTGTCTTCACAGCATTCCTTGCCTCCTGAAACATATAATTAGAATGATTAAACCCTTACATTATATATTTTTATCATTTTAATTAACTTCATTAACCTATAGTAATGTTAGAATTGAGAATACATATTTTATAAACTTCTATGAGCCAAATTTTTGTCTTCATAGAATTCCTTGTCTCCTAAACATATAATTAGAATGATTAAACCCTTACATTATATATTTTTATCATTTTAATTAACTTCATTAACCTATAGTAATGTTAGAATTGAGAATACATATTTTATAA